GTTTGCTTGTTTGCTTGTTTGCTTGTTTGCTTGTTTGCTTGTTTGCTTGTTTGCTTCTCTTGTTAGAACACTGCGGCTGTTTTATTATTATTTATATCTAAAGGGATTTTAAGTCATGTGGTCACACCCTGAGAACTAATCATCTTTTATTTCTTCTATTGTAGGTTTGTTTGTGGTCTTGTATACTATGGAATAATGTTCAGCTCTCCTAGTATCGGTGGTAATATGTACCTGAACTTTTTCATTGCTGCTTTATTTGAAGCGGTTGGCATGTTAATAGGGATTTATCTCTTTAACTGGTGAGTCACCCGAGTCTAAGTCCACATGCAAATTAGTCTACAAAAAGTTGAAGAATGTTTTGCTGTATACTGAGCCCCAAATGCACTATGAGCGATGTGAAGCCAATCAGTGAAAAGTGACAAAGATATGGATAAAGTTTTTCTGTCACATTTTCTTCTGTGCTGAATTGTTCTTTCTCTGTTATCAAGACTCGCTCGCAGACTCATTCGCTAGCGATATCATATGGAAACTCGTGAATAAAAACGATATCAAGCTCTTAAAATTTGAAAATATCTATATATCTCATTACAAGCACAACATACGGGATATACCTTATTGCATGAAATTTTCGCGACACGTTTATTTCGCGACTTTACGGTGCGCGTTTTTCGCGACACTTAAATTTCGCGATTTTGGGAAATTTTTGTATTTTGAATCACTTTAATTTCGCGTTTTTAATTAAGGCACTAATTTATTTAACTTCATGTACAATATCGTCAAAACTAAAAAAAGATGCAGCGGCGGGTCTATATGACAACATTAACAACAAAGAAGTTCTCACAATGTCCACAAGAAATTCACGCTTGTACATGAATTATAGAGTCACTGATTGACCACGTATCCAAGTTACTACACCCTTTATTCCCGCTTTCTCCCATCCTTTCAAGACATGAACACAGAAAGCAGTAGTGATAAGTAGGACCGAGACATTGCCCTAGAATAGTTAAAACTATGATTTTGCAAACGTTTCAGTGGTAATAAAGGTATTCTTTCTTGATTATTGACATATTGTGAGGCACTTAATTTTCGCGTCATGTTATGTTCGCGACATTTTAATTTCGCGACTTTTTTTAAATCGCGAAATTCGCGAAATTAAGGTGTCGCGAAAATTTCATGTAATAAGGTAGAATGAGTTGTAAATGAGCATAATGGCCGACCACCATGTGCTTCAGTGATGAAATAAATAGTAGTTGTTATTTTACACTTTATGGATTCGTGGTTACAACAAAAATACTTTCAATTAGCAAGACAAAAAATGTCTGTTCATCAAAATTATATTTTTCTTCAGGTTTGGTAGGAAGAAATCAATCGTTGGTAGTTTGTGGGTGGCTGGAGTAGCAGCGATTATTGCTGCAGTGCTTAGTCAATATGACGATGAAAGTGACGGTAATGATACAATATTATATCGGGAAGGGACACGAGTGAAAAACGTCTGCGCATGCTCTAAATCCGTATGCAAATTACTCAAAACATATGTAAATTTGACTTTCAAACATGCCTGATAAATTGGACTTCACAAAATACCATGCTTGAAACGTGAGGCTAATTCTTTCATATTGTGTTTGTTAATACAGTATCTTGGTCGGACAAAAGTATACTCGTTAAATTTTTTGAATTGAGAAAGCTTGAATTACGACAAATTACTTCTAAAATACATCAATGTATTTTGCTACTTTAAAAATTGAAATAATATCTTTTTATATTTTTTGATTATTTGGAAAAAAACACCTATGTACTTCTAGTATACAGTGCCAAATAAATTGTTGTTGTTGTTGTTGTTGTTGTTGTTGTTGTTGTTGTTGTTGTTGTAGAACCTAGAAGGGTAAGCTAGAGCCGTATTGACTGTAAACGTTAACCTTGATTATCTATCTACGTCCATAGGCTATCTTGCTGGTAAAATTCTGACGTCAATGGTAGTTGGGAAGCTCTTCATTACTATAGCATTTGATGGCGTGTTTATTTATGCTTCAGAACTCTTCCCCACCGTTATCAGGTCAGTCCCTTCAATTAATTCAATATTGCTTGTTTTCAATCGTTCCCAATAGAATGAAATAACATTAGCATTAGAATATGGCATGGAAAAACCTTTATAACTGCAAGAATCCGCACTCAAACTATGAAAATTGTTTTCGGGTTATTCAACATCTTACTCCATGTAGAATCAAGAATGCTGTGAATATTCTCAGAAGGGTGATAGGCACTTTAAGCTACTTTAAAGATACGACACACTCCACACACACTACCACTACATTTTATTTTCCAAGAAACACAACTCTCGACTCACATATTGATTTTTAAAGAATCCTAGTCAACTACAATGCATTGCGCGCAGAAATCCAAACAATCGGCCATTTTCTCTGCCAGACAAAATGGCGAATTTGTAGGTGAAGTTTGAAAATCCAGTTCCATCCGTCTTGTTATTCCTGCTAGACGTTTTATGATAATCATAAGATAACGATACGTGGTCATTTTATGCTTTCCATGAGATTTTTTTTAAATTTTGGCAACGAATCTAAGGTAGATTTCGAAAGTTGTGATGTCTAACAGTTGGACGAACGAAAAGTCATAATGTCTTAAAGAGAATCTCTCTGAAAAATTCAACCTACTTGCTGTCGAATGAAAGGAAGGAAATTCTGGGAATTAGAAGACTTTGGCATAACGAATTTGCAGAACGTTTGTTTCTCCAGTGCATGGAAGAGCTTGGAGAACGATGTAGACGAACGATGTAAACAATAATATAGGGGTGCAATGCATTGTAGTTGACTAGGATTCTTTAAGGAGGGAAGAAAACAGAGAACCTGGTGAAAAACCCTCGTCCATGTTATTTTATGTTATTTTTATTGTCAACAGAAATACGGCTATGGGGTCTTCTAGTGCTGCAGCTCGTGTAGGATCTGCCTGTGCTCCTTATATCGTGTACTCAGTAAGTGTATTCGAATGTCTAAGTAAATAGCTATGCACGAAAACTAGCTATATGCATTTAGTCAAATCCAACAAGCGGTCTATCATCAATGCTGCGTTCTAATTGGATGAGCTAATGTAGGCTATTAGTTATATCCTACTAGTAGCAAAAAGTGCCGGCTTTGAAAACCAAAAAATTGAATATAACTTTAATTCAAGACTTGTTCGTCCCTTTTTTTGTTCGTTCGTTCGTTCGTTCGTTCGTTCGTTCGTTCGTTCGTTCGTTCGTGTGTTTGTGTAAGTGTGTGTGTGTGTGTGTGTGTGTGTGTGCTTGTTTGTTTGTTTGTTTGTTTGTTTTTTCGTTTGTTTGTTTGTTTGTTTGTCGCTAAAATTGTGGTTAAATCCTACAGGTAAGAATGTTTTAAGGAGTCTTGGTGTTATTGGCTCATTTGCTCTTTCTACAGCAAAAGGGGATCCATCCATTGATGCCTTTTTGGTATCATGGCAATCAATGCCTTGATCTGTAGAATACTGTTTATGACTCTCGTATGATATTTGGTTTCGCGATAAACCTTGAGATCAATTTTTCCCTTTAACACTTTATTTTCTTCGCACTTGTGTCGAACGTACAATTTACGATGAACTCTGAACACACACACTACTGCAACTTCTTATATAGTCTTTTACAATCTTTCTAGAATGTTCTAACATTACATCATAGAATTTTCCAGAAATTACGATAAACAAGTCAAGTTTAATCTATAAATAGACATTTCATTATCACTTCTAACTTTCTATAACAAAGACTAATCAAGAATGTCCTGGAAAATCTAGAATATTCTATAAAACGTGCTTTTAGTCATTTCTTCTGTCCAATATTCATTTGGTTCCTCCACAGCAAAGAGTCCATCCATTGATGCCTTTTGGTATTATGGCAATCAACGCTCTGATMTCTGGAATACTATGCATGACTCTCCCAGAAACCAAGGACAAGGCCATGCCAGACACCATCAAACAAGTCTATATGAACAGCCAGCACAGCGGGATTGATGCCGGAAACACAGACGACGAGACTACAAAGTTAGCGCCCAGTTATATTATGCTGGAGAGTACAGCATAGAAAGATGTTAAAATGATCAATGGACTATCTGCACAAGAAGTCAATACACCGTTTTCTTAAGGTCGCGTGCGCATCCAACTTGACGGGTTACATAACTGAAAAACGCAAATTCAGTAAAATTGAGAAGCCAGTTTTATATTTAAAGAGGAGAATAAGCGATTTTATGAATTCTTATCGAAAACAATTTCATAGCAATGCATGATAATACTCGTGTTCTGGTATCGTGGCCCGTCAAGTTCCTTAAATTTGGATGCGCACGCAATCTTGAGAAAACGGTCTATTGACCCTACCCTCGAAACGAGCGGTCATGTCAGACTAACTTAGAGAAATAAGACAGACCACCTATCATAGCTGTTTATTCATCGCACGAAAAGCTAATTTTACGCATGTGTACTAAGTAAGTTAAAACATGAAGATAAACATATAATGGACGTATTTAATATAATTTTAGACTTGAATATAGAGTTTCACGCGCCGTGATTGGTCGAGCGACCAGGGATTATGAGACGATAATGACTGCTCGAGCGGTGATTATGAGGTTTTCCAAAGTTTGCCAATACGGAAGTAATAAAAAATGCATGCGACAAGGCTGCTACTTTCGCAATTTTTTTCTTTATCTCTCATGCTAAAAAACGTTTCGTGTTTCATTCGTATCTCTTGTGCTTTAATCTTTTCACAAAATTCTGCTAACCTCGAGCAATTCTACTTCGAGGTATTAGCGAAAATGTTAGTTTTTGTGCTGATCAAAATATCATCTCTCCCAACGTTCAGGGCGTTATATCTCAAATACGCATTCCTTAAATTTCCCCAAATTTTGGTATTTTGTTAATCAGCCCCAAAAGAGCCTGTTTATGAAATATAAAGCTTATTAACGCGTAAACATCGAAAGTAGTACAAGTTTTTCTGCCCTGTCCTCGCTGTCATGATCACCAAATATAGCAATATGAATTTCACTCAGATAATTATAAAAGAGGTAACATTGTCAAATTCCTTGCATACCTGTGTCAACTGCTTCTCATGCCCAGTACCTAACCATTCTCGTAATAGCACTCAAGTTCGATCTTTTACTCAAGTTTGCTTGTCAGAACACGTCACGACCAACGTCCATGTTCACAAAACGCATCCCACATGGAAAGAAGTGAGCAAGGGAGGTTAGTCATAAGCGACACAATCGAGGTATTTKGTCTGCTGGTCATAGCAAGGGGTTAATCATCTACGGTCTAGGGGCCGACTAACCTCTCCCTTAGGCTTCGGCCGAGCTTCCTGATCAGTCTGTAATTCCCCCGGGATAGCGGTGTTGGGGCCGAAATCTTCAGCGTAGCCGTAAGTCCATACGACGGTTCAGCACTCGATGTCTGGAAGTATGGTCCTGGTTAATTGTTAATTTGGCAAATAATCTAAAATTTAATCTACAATTAACCAAAAAATAGATAGAAATGAATAATAATAAAAAAAGCAGATACGACTTAGCTTAGTTACTGGGGATTTCCTTAGGCAACCAARTTAGAAATGCAAGTGAAAAAGAATTATTTTTTAACCCTTTCTTAATCAAGTTCAAGTTTCCTAAATCCGTAAAAATCAACATGTGGGTTGAATGTTGTGTGCATAGAACATTGAATGAAGCGGTATGAGTGAAGAGTATCCCCAATTAGTGCGAATGCGCTAGAACGACTAGTCTCCCCCACAGCCGCTTTCATAGACACTTAAATAAGATTTTTTTTTTTTAATTTTTTTCATGAGTAAAGAATTCGTTTTCGAATAATTTTGAAATAACAATATTTATTTATAAATAAAAATTGAGAATCGATCGAGCTTTCTCAGCCTTCAGTTATGATGCGTTTTTGACACATTTAAAAATTTATTGGGATGATTATAGTGAGCAAGGAGGTATAAAAGGTTAACCCTATCAAGGATATCTCCGAAGTTTGTCGCTAAACAATTGTCTATTAGCTACTATAGCAGTACCATATTCATTTGCTTAAAAATTTAAAAAGCCCTGACAAAATTATGATAGCCTTGAAAAGGAATGTTCACTGCCAACCACCTAAAAAAGAGCTCACTGACTGGAAACTATACCGACCACTGAAATGCCAATTTACCAATCGACATAAATAATGTTTCGACCAGGGTTTGAGCGTTTTATATCTCCACAGGATCAGTAAAAATCGACCACCAAACGAGCCGAGATATTAAGATATTTGACCAAATAAACCAGACCAATGAGCACTCGATATCAGATGGTGCTTTGGTCACAGGTGTATTTGAGAGCAATATCTCATTACCATAACACTATATCCTCTCATAACAATGCGTTGTAAACGTGTTGGCTTGTAAAAAAAATCGCTTACACGACAAGCTTAAAACGAACTAACTTTGCAATTGGTTGGACTAGTATATCATTAGAGTCTTGAAGACAATTATTCACTTGAAAAAGCCCTTTAAAGGTAAAGCAAACTATGTTTTATGAAGAATTATTTGCGTTGACTATGTGTATGTTATATTTGCTTGTTTATATATTTTTCTCCTTTTTTTTTCCATGCCTATTTTTCGCCTCTTTAGTAGACGATCTTATCATGTCGTTTAAATTGAATTCGAGTGTAAAGATAAAAAGTCGTTTGTCTGGAGCCACTTTATAGATTTTGATATCTTAACTTTTGAATGTGAAAATAGTTAGAGATATACGGTTCAAACGTTATGAATAAGCATGGAAACTAAAAAATAATTATATATTCTTATGCACCACGAGGTTTTATGATTATTTCCAAAAAAATCCTTTTTGGAATTCTCTGTTTTTCGTCTTTCTCTCTCCGAGAAATGAAAACAAATTAGAAATAAAACAAATTAGAAAAAGTCACTGGAAATAATCATAAATTGTATAAGATAGATTTAGTGTTTAATAGACGAGGTCCAAGAAAGTATCACTTTCATAAAACAATATTGTGCTCACCGGACACTGAAACTGTATAGGCTGCTAAGCTTTAGTTTTCTTCATATTTATATAATCAAGTTTTACGCATAAACTTACCACAAATTGAAAAAGGAAAACCGACGTGAAACAAAGATATTTTTAATTTAATTCACAAGGTTTTGCAGGAAGATACTTTATGTAGGAAAACCATTTGTTTACTATTGCAATGGCGTCTTTCCGAGAAAATTGTACCGTAACTGATTCAATTTTCCAATTTCACTACAATACTAGAATTAATAGAAAAAGCTATTTTGGATTAAAAAATGCTCTATAATCATAAATATTTGAAACTTTCTTAGATTAATAAACACAAGAAACTGAAAAACAAATAAACAGTATAAATAAAGATAAATACGATAAATAGAGGAATAACAAGTAATAGAAAAATATTCGCCCTCCGTCCCTTTTTTGTTTGTCTATATTTTTGTTAGTTTAGGTTTTTGCTTACAACTTCTGATGTTTTTTTGCATTCCAAATCCTTTTGCTTTTAATTTTCGTGTTTTTTTGTTTTTGTTTT